CTTCTGAGCTAGATGGCCGCTTGTTTACCTTCAAGCTTTTAAGACCCCAGACACTATATCCTTTGATAGCTGGGTACCATCAGCTTTCTTCACCACTTTTGCTTATTCACCCGCTTTGTCTTCAGCAGTTGTGTCGGGAAGGTGAGCATCATAGAATGCCAATTTAATAGAAGAAACTATTCTTGCATTGAGGGAGTACCTGAGTGGAGACCCAATGTCCTTCTGCTACCTTAATACTAAACCTATAAATATAGACACACACACACATATATAAATATATTTGCATCCTCATATATAAATGTATTTGCATATGTGCATGTCTTTATCTAGATCTCTATAAATGCCCTTTGCCTCCCAGATCTTTCCTCTATTTCCCTTGACAGAATTTAAACTCTTAATACAATGAAACATGCATTTGATCACTATAAAGTAGTCCTTTTGTTCTACTTATTTTAATTTTTGCTTTTATTTGAACTGCGCTGATATTAATTTGGCAGGCTTACTCTTTTTTTTTTTTTCCGCCACTTTAGATCTTTTTAGCCATTCTTTTACCTTTGACTTTTCTGAATCTCTATTACAACTTGATTGTTTACATTTAACCGTTCTGTGTATCTATCAGAAAGAGTCCTGATGGCCTAGTGGGTGGCATGTTGCAAGATAAACAGTTCAATCCCCCTCTCTCCCCCCAACTATCATGACCTCAATTCCACCTTACAGATCCAGCTAGACCAGAGCATGTACACTGGTACAGATAAGAGCTCGCAACACAGGGAATCCAGGACAGATAATCCAGGACCAATAATAAGATTAGAGATACCAGGAGGTGAAGGGGAATGTGGGGGGAGAAAGGAGGAACTGATCACAAGGATCTACATATAACCCCTTCCCAGGGGGACTGACAACAGAAAAGTGGGTACAAGGAGACAGCGGTAGGTGTAAGACATGAAAAAATATATACAAATTATCAAGGGTTCATGAGGGAGGGAGGTGGGTAAAACGAGGAGCTGATATCAAGGACTCAAGTAGAAAGAAAATGTTTTAAAAATGATGATGGCAACATATGTACAAATGTGCTCGACACAATAGATGGATGTATGAATTGTGATAAGAGCTGTAGTGGCCCCATCAACCACTCTTCCGGAGAAAGGTGAGGCTGTCTACCTCTGCAGAGATTTATAGTCTCAGAAAGCTTAGGGAGCAATTTTTCTTGATCCTATGTTCTGGGGGAAGAAGGACCCAAATTCAAATATATTTTACAGAGATCCCTTAAACAGGGCAAAGCCAAAATAAAGACAAATAATTTTCATGCGGGAGACCATCAGCATGAGGTCATAGTCCTGTCCAAAGAATTCCCATTCACAAGTCTACTTAAATAAAACATGGAAGAGAAAGGAAATTCATCACAAAATGATCATTGGCAGTAGATTAATTCATCCTAGTGGGAGGAGGGAGGGATTGAAGAGGCAGAAAAGGGATCATAATTTGCAAACACACAGTATTGCAGGTTAGAAAAGTTTACAGGATCTGCCCTCAGGTCTTCCAAACACCTTAGTCATCTTATGACTCTCTTTTTGGGCGTGGGAGAATGACTTTTGACCGTGGAGACCCTAGTACTTCAGTTTCCATTAAGGACATACCCAGGTAAGTCCCTGAGACTGTCCCTCCCCGGTCTGGCCCATGAGTCAGAATTTTTGTTTGTTTTTAACAGTTTTATTTGCATATATTTCACATATCATACCATTCAATAGTTCAATCATATTAAAACGAGTTTTATAATCATCATCACAATTTTAGAACATTTTCTTCTTTCTGGTACCCATTGTAATTAGCTCCCCACTTCTTCCCAACCTCCCCTGCGACACCCCCAAGAAGCCATGGTTCCAGTGACCGTCTCCAGTGCCTGTCCTGGATTTCATAGACAGAAATCACACAAAATAGAAACCGACAACAATAACAAAATAAAAGAGATGAAAATCTCAATCCAAAAGGAAAGTCGAAAAAGATTAAAGACTAGACCAAATGTAAAGTGGATCAAAAGGGAGGTCAAACATTACATTTGAATCTAATGACATCTGCAGTCACCCACTTTCCAGTGCACTGGGCATGAAGCAACGCACCTTCTGCCTCAGGACAAAGCTTTAGACGTTGGGGTCACTGGTCAGGAAGAGCTCAACGGAGGCTGAATCTAGGCGGAGCCTCAAAATGCACTTAGGGCCTTTTGCAAACCCAGGGCTCAGAATCGAATCTCCAATATACCTACTGGGTTGCTCTGAGTTGGAATCAACTTATGGCAGTGGGATTCCTCAGATGTGTATATTGATAAAGAGCACACGATATAGGTTTAGGTTGCCCTTCGTGTTACTAATCCTATATATACAAAGCCATTTATTATGTAATCAAGAGAAATCTTTTGAAGATAACTTGCTTATTTTTTGGTCTCTCATTAATGGCTCTAGAGTTCTGTGGTTCCTCAAGAGAGTACTCTTAGTCTTTGGATTTGGCGTTCTTTTCTGGCTGTTCGAAATCGTGATCCTTCATACCGACGAGCATCGTCTCAACACAGCGCTCACGCCTCATCCTGCTCCAGCAGCACAGGCGCTGAAGCTCTTATCGGAGGACCGACTCAGGAAGCTCTTTACCTACGATGGAATCTGGTGAGCGCTGGAGAGTCCTCTCCTTCCCATCCTCTTCCACTTGGGCCCGGCATCTCACTCGTTCCTCTTAAGGTTCACTTTGCCCTACTGTGCCCTTTCCCCAGATGGTTTCTAACCTCCTGGACCTGTGCGGATCCCTAGGGTGACTCCAAATCACCAGGGGACTAGGAAAGGCCTTTTCCTGTCATAGCACCCAGGGGCATCCCTTTACCTGCTGGTGGGCCTGTTTAACCAACCCCCCAGGAGAATTCTGCCTTTTCTGTCCCTGCTGGGGCAGAGACGCCTTTGACATTCATGTGGGCATCCAGAAGCTAAGTGCAAAGGATTATTCAAAAGAGGAGTCCTCCACCAGAGTTCTCCTGCCCCACCTCCCACCTCAAGCCTCCTTGTGACTCTTGAAAGACCACTGGTTCCCAGGCTTCAACGCAACCCGTCCAACGGAGCGGTGGGAACTGGACTTCTCGGCTGGCATGGCAGACACACCGGTTCCCTTACGTCCGTCTGCCGACCTGCTCCATCCATGTTGACAGGGCTCTTTCTTGTTGTAGGCTGTTCCCGAAAAACGAATGCGACTGCACAACCGGTCACCAGGGAGGTTATAACTTTGAGAATGCCTACGGCAAGAGCGACCTCCCAGCCGTGAGAGCACGTCGAGAGGCGGAATATGAACACTTTCAGAGGAGGTAACGCAGGCTCTGAGGGCTCCTGGGTTCCGAACGACAGGCACAGCTCTCTCTGCTGTCCTGATGGTGTGGTCCTAAGAGAGAGGACTGGTACTGCTATGAACCCACGCGTCAGGTCAGCCACTATCCTAGGGACTGTCCTTGCTTTCACTGCCGTAGAGTTGACTGAGACGAAACGAAACCCTGTCTGGTACTGTGTCGTCCTCCCAGTGGGCAGCGTGGTCCAGATCATCGGGAGGATGCGGGTGATACAGGTTTCTCACAAACCTGGTACAGTTTGATGTCCTTCCCATCTGTCAGCTCATATCGCCGTGAGTGGGCACTGGACTGGGGGGGCGGGGGAGGGGGGGGGCCGGGAAGCATGAATCTCGGAAGAAGTGTGAAGCCCATTGAAGGCAGGGCTTGCTCCGGAATGGCTTTGCACCAAGCACAGTGCCTTGTGAAAAGCAGGTTGTCAGTGTCCTTCAGGCCCTACTGGGCAGCATTATGAGCCCTGGGTGGAGCTGAGCCTCTCCCTGTGCAGCCACTTCCTCCCTGGTATGAGAGTCAATAGTGAGCTGTGTTTGCTTTTCCTCAGGTTTTGCCAGGTATAATCCCCAAAGAGATGGCCCTTTGCACAGGGAAGGAGGATACAGGTGGGTGAGGACTGGCCAGGGCTGCGTCCAGCTACTTAGCTGTGTGGAATCCATTTCTTCTGCTCATTCTTCTGCCCAGCCCCCTCTGGGCCATCCCTTCCTCCCCAAAGTCACCAGCCTCATGTCTTCCTGTTCCCCCACTGCTCTCCCCCATCTGAACCTCTCCTTCTCCCAACCTTCCCTCTCCTTCCCCGTCCTTCTTCCTCCATCACCCCTCTCCAGCGATTGGCACACGGGAGCCCTTCTCTGGTGGAGACAGTCCTGGCTCCCTCCCCTCTGCAAGCCCACACTGCCCAGGCACAGACTGAAGCCATAGTCCTAGTAAGTGTCCCCTGTGCTTCCCTCACACCTTTCAGACACTCATTGCGCTGAGACTAGCACTGCGGCAGGCATCGCAGGTGCAGCTGGGGGAGTTCACACAATAGTGGCAAAGAGAAAACAAGAAGCAGCCAGACAGTGAGACAGTTTGAGAGAAGTTATGGCAACACAGAAGTAGAACACAAGGGACTGCTGGCTGTGATAGCGTACCACATATGGATCTATTGTACTATTCTACAATATTATTGAAAATTAGAAAATCAGGATGCTACCGAGAAAATTTCAATTCTCTTGGAATCCAGATTTTTGGAGTTCATGGACTTGGGGTGACTAATCCAGGCTATTGTACTTAGATTGTCATTTAAACCTTGAGCCTTAAGAAAACGGGTCCCCTGCAGTGACCTTTAAATCACACACTAATCTAGCAACTAGTTTGGTAAAACGATCTTGCCTTGTGCATTGGACATGTTTGAGGAATGTCTATATGTTGTCAGTGTCCAAAGAGCCCTGGTGGTGTAGTGGATTATGCAAACATTGGGCTGATAACTGCAAGGTCAGCCGTTCAAAACCACCTCCCACTTTGTGGGAGAAAGATGAGCTTTTCAACTTCCCTGGAGATTTTCAACGTCGCAAACCCACAGGAGCATGTCTTCTCTGTCCTGTCGGGTCGCAGTGAGTGGGAACTGACTCAATAGCTAGCTTCTCTACAGACGCGTTGACACGGCGGCTGCAGCTGGGCTTCAGCACCGCACAGGACTGAACAGCGTCCCTTGTACACAGGGCCGCGCTGTCAGAACTGACGACAGTCCGTTTTCAGAAGAAACTGCAGGGTCGGACTGGGAGCTGTGTTTTGGAATAAATTGTTATTGTTTAAACATGATCCCAGCCCTCTTCATATCAGTGTCGGGAAGAGGGAGGACGAGAATTTAGGGACAGTCTTTCATCTTTGAACCACTTTGTAGCCACCTGTGGCTCAATTTGCCAATTGAATATTACATAAACCTCGAATGCATTGAGATTATTGGTTTAACACACTTTCTAACAGAAGTTAGGATCGCCAAGTCCTTTTCCCTAAGCCCCGAATTCTCCGAGGAAACCAGTGACGGAGTCCAGGGGACGGTTTCTTCTTGCTCCCTGCTTCTTTCCATTCTCTCCAGGGCCATGGACGGACGGACGGACGGACTCTCAGATCTTCAGTGCCGTCCGTGTTTTGGGTAGCAGGTGCGCCCTTAAATCGAGGTGAAGTTGCAAGAGACTAACTAGGTCTCTAGGCAGCAGAATGAACCAGGTACAACAAACAACAACACCTCCAGGTTTTATAAAGCCGTTTCAGGAATCTCAGAGCTAAAGCCCTAGGCAGAATTCCGCTCGAAATGTTATGCGTGGCACCCTGAAGATGCCTCTGTGTTCTCTGTGTTTCTCACCTTTTCTGAAAATGGGGTAGGTTTCTCAGGGTCTGTGTTTGAGTAAAACTCCGACATTAAACAATTTTTTAAAATTTAAGTAATTTATTTTTTATTAATCCTTTTAGAGGGAGCTTGTACAGATACCATAACAATCCATAATTCAATTAGGTCAAGCGTAAGTGTACTGTTGCCACCACAACCAGTTTCCAAACATGTTCTTTCTTCTTGAACTCCTTGATATCAGCTCCTCTTTATCCCCTCCCTCCCCCCCTGCACCCCCCCATCCCTTAGTATTCTTATCATCATTATTATTTTGTTGTACGTATCTTACCCCATCCAATAAATCCATTCACCGACAACTCTGTTATTTGCTCCCCTTGAAGGATGTTATACATCCATTCTTGTAAAGCTCCTGAATTTATAAGCCTCTAGTCCAAGTGGGCCAGTGTTTAGAACTGACCCTGAGTCTGATTCCAGATCCCCAATCTTTCATCAGGCCAGCTTGACAAATCCAAAGCTTAATGGCTCTGTTCCTTAGGGTTAGCGTTTGATTCTGATCCAGGCTCCAAGTGAGTGTGCAGTTTCACAGATTTTCATCCATGTTGTGGGTTTTCTTGCCCTCATTTAACGTAAACTTGATAAGCTTGGGGTCCCCCTAATTTTGAAGAATTGTTTGTTGTTTTGCTCCCCCTTCCTTGGACACCAGACTAGGAGTTATAATGGAAACATTATAAGCCACGTCGTTTTTCGTTTCTGAAAACCTGACTGATCTTTTAACAGTCACTTTGGGGAAATGAGTTACCATTTGCCTTGCCCTTCTTTTCTCTACGAGGAGCTTCTGTTTGGTCCGCAGGCATGGCCGCAGGGTCTGATATCCTTCCACCGGAGACTATGGCAGGTTAAGATATTTGATCTCAAAAACCCAAACTCACCGCCATGGAGTCGCTGCTGGCTCGGAGTGACCCTATGGGACAGGGTAGAACTGCCCCCATGCATTTCCGAGACTGTCACTCTTGTTGTTTGTTTGTTTGAATGTAACTCTTTACGGGAGTAGAAAGCTCCACCCCATCTTTCTCCCCAGGAGTGGCTAGTGGTTTCCAACTGCTGGCCTTGTGGATTTGCAACCCAACTCTTCATCATCTGCCGCCAGGGCTCCAGAGGTCTTATCTAGAACCTGTGTTCCTATTGTTTCTAGCGTCCTCGATTCCTTTGTTTTGTTTGAGAATCTAACCCTGACTGTTGAGTTGGCCTCAGAGACTGGTGAGTTTGTCATTTTAATGTCTTGTTTTGTCGCGACAGCATGACCCTCAATCGAGTGTGGTCTCTGGTTTGTATGCTCAACTCAGGTTGAAGCCTGAGGGAGGCCATTGCAAGTGTTTCCCTGAGGCTGTCTTTAATCTCAGTTGCTTCCTTTTTCCAGAGAGATGGATTCCTATGTGCACCCATCTTTATAACTGGCATAATTTCCTAAGGATGACCTGAGTTTTCAGTAACTACGTTGATACACTTTGATACAATGAGGAATCTCAGAATAGACCAATTCAAATTGGCCTATTTGAAAAATGCACTAAAAAAAGATGAATTGTTATTTTGATTGGCGTTTGACTTTGCTTCTCTAAATGACTTTTTTTAAAGTACATAGAAGATACGTTATGGATATAAAATATTTTCCTAGCTCCAGGTGGTATTATGAAATTAGAGTGTTCCTTCCATGAAACTTGTTCTGATGGGTTTTGTGATAAGTAAGCATTAATATAAATTCAATAATTCTAATATTCCCAGAAATGAATGAAAGGGAATTTTCCTGGCAAATGTTTTTATGTTTTACAAGTTTGCAAGATCTTTTGACGTAACTTGGGTGCTCTGAGGGCACACTGGTTAAGCACTGAGTTGTTATCTGAGAGGGTTTGAATCCACCAGTCACTCAGAGAGGAGAAAGATGAGGCATTGGTTTCTGTAAAGATGGAAAGCCTTGGTGACCGCGGAGCACTACGACTCTGTCTGATTGGGTCAGTGAGTGGCGTTGACTCATGACAATGGGCTGGGTTGGATTGGGCTAGATAAGTGGTTCTCAACCTGTGGGTCAAGACCCCTTTGGGACTCCTTTAACAGGAGGCATCCTATTCATAACAGTGGCAACATTACAGTGATGAAGTAGCAATGAAAATAATTTTACGGTTGGGGGGGGTCACCACCACATGAGGAACTGTATGAAAGGGTCTCGGCATTAGCAAGGTGGAGAACCGCTGGGCTAGATTAAATATTTGGACTGTGTTTGGTGAAAGGAAAACATAGTAATGTTGACACAAAGTGAAAGAGACGGGCTGTGCTAAGATAGGAAAGAGAAAAGCGTAGAGAAAAATATGGGGTGAGTATGGAATGTTGTGGACAGTTAAAGAGGGTTAAGTGGAGAGTCAGTGGCTTTATATCCACAGCTAGTAAAGAAAATGTTATGTTAACTAAGGAAGGCTAAATAGCACAGCGCGAGTGGCAGTGAGTCAAGAAACCCTTCTTACTGAGTGGAGATCTTTAAAGATTTTAAAAATAAGGTGGCTATTGAAGTTAAAGCAGGACAGGTGCTGTCTTAATTTGGTGTTGTTGCCATTGTTGTGTTGTTGTTAGGTGCCAACGAGTCGACCTA